TCAGGATAACCTGAGCCACTCTAACTAGAAGCTTTATCAAAAAGGAAAGTTTTAAGCCTAGCCTTAAAAGTAAGGTAGGCTTCAATCTGTTTATCACTCATTCAGGAATCAGAGTATCAATAATTGATCAATAACTGCAGCTGGATTGGGTTTGTTTCTCCACCAGATTCCTGTCAGCTCACCATCGACACAAACACAGTGGACAAGAAACTGGAACTCTCTGAAGATAACAGGAAGGTGACCTACGTGGACGAGTTTCATCCTGATGATAACTACAGCCGACTGCACTGCACTAATACTCTGACTGGCCGCTGTTACTGGGAGTTTGACTGGGAAGGAGACGTTGATATTTCTGTATATTACGGAGAAAGAGAGGAAGACTGTGAGAGGGAGATACTTGAATGGGAGGAAGTGGCCTGGAGTTTGGGATGTTCTGCTGATTGTGGTTACTCCGGTTGGAATAGTAGCCAAAGGAGTCATTTATTCTTCAGCGAGCAGCCCGTGTCTCACAGAGTGGCCGTGTACCTGGACTCCTCAGCTGGAACTCTGTCCTTTCTCAATGTGGGCTCCGATGGCCTGAGCCACATCCACTCATTCAGCACAGCACTCTCCGAACCGCTTCGTGTTCGTTTTAATTTCTATTTCTGTGCTTCTACGGCGTCCTCCATAAGGACCCTCGGCCCACTCTGCTAGAGGAGCATTTAGACTACATTCGCAAAATGTTTGCTACTGTTTTTGATACATCAGTTATTCAGAAGCTAAACTTGTCATTACAGCCACAAAAGTGTTAACTTTTCATTTTTAAATCTTGTTTTCATCCATTTAAAAAGGTTTTCATATTCCCTGCTTCTAAACTTTAAAATTTGTCTTCTAAATGTCCGAAGATTTGATGCCATAATGGAAATAAACTGTTAAATTGCTGTTAAAATGCAACAGTTGATTTTTCTTGACGATTTCCTGATCTACCAGGAGGTCGCCGTCCGGTCAGCAAGAAATAATCAATAGATCATTATTTATACCTAAAATTGATATGTTCGTTTGATTTAATAAATTCAGTGCTAAAAAAATTCAATTTTTCATTGCGATCACAG